AGACTCCTCATGAGACAAGACGACAATGGTATTTAAATTTAAAAAAAAGTTGGCCAAAGGCCAAAAATACCAAAGGTCGATCCATCTTTGGTCGATCGATACCAAAGGTCGATCCATCTTTGGTATTTTTGGCCTTTGGCCAACTTTGCTATGTTTGAAGATAGAAGATATTTTTGAAGATATTTTGGGCAGAATAATACGACATGACAAATTTTATAAAGATCGGCCGACTATATCCTATAGCTAACATACAACTGAACGATCGGAAGTGACCCAAATTTTTTTTTTTGAAGATAGAAAGCTGGAACTTGGTACAGATTTTAGTTTTGGTCAGTTAATCCGATCTACCGAATTTCAAACCGATCTGTCGACTATATCTTATAGCTAACTGAACGATATGAACTGAACGGAAATGGTTTTTGGTAGGAAATACCAACTTCGATATTTTTGAAGATAGAAGTTTGATAGAAAAGTTAACTCAGGTTAATGATCTTGGTGTTATGTATTAGAATTAAAATTCAAATTTGCCGACCATATTTGCACAATTTTGACGATTTTCAATGAGCTGGCAAATGAACAAAAATTTTTTTTTAGGATTGTAAGTTTGCATACATTTAATTGAAGACATAAAGAGGAAGAAACAAATTTTACATGTTTTTTTTTGTTGTATTTTGTGGTAAAAAAAAGCCCTTCTTTTCGGCGGCGCATGTGATTTCCGCTCACTGGAACATGTAAAACCAAAAATTCCAACGGGATTAGAAAGAGTACATGTTTGGCTCTGGTGTGAACTAGGATTATTAGTTTCGCAAAAAAATTAACAAAATGGCGAACCATTGAAATTTTTTTTTTTGAAAATTGCCTTTTTTCAGCCACAAATCAAGTTTAAAAGTAAAGAAGATCTTCACCGATTGATTTATCCTAGTTCATGCCAGAGTTATATGTGTATAGAATAACGTATTATAATTTGAAACCGATTGGATTAAGGATGTAGTCTCATGTGTGAGGTTGAAAAAATCGATTTTTTTTTTCACATATTTCGATAGTATTGTTTATTAAGAATGTACTGTTAAAGTTTCAAATAAAAATATCAAATAATGACAGAGATACAGCCCATAATCGAGAGCGCGCCTACACCGAAAAGTATGAGTTTCTCGGTAGCGTCTAAACTTTAAACGCGCTTTTGATTCACAAAATTCTATGGTACCGATCTAGCTGAAATTTGGATATGTTGTTCTAAAAAGGAACACCTCTGTCCCGTACTAGAATCATTTATTTTTAATGATTAGTTTTTTTTTTATCATTACTTTAAGATAAATTTTTTAAATTTAAAACAATTTTTTTTTGTGTGAGTTCGCCATTTTGTTGTTTATTGATGAAAATATTTCATTCTAGTACGGGACAGAGCCATAAGCTTACCAAACCATAATCTATTCTAATTTTTTGTTTCGGATGACTCTAGCAGTCGAAATCACCTGCGCCAGGGACCTACCTTTTTTTTTATATGCATACTTTGGCATGCTATAAAGTCTATTAAACTACACAAGAATAAATTAAACAAAATATTTTCAAATAGTTTATAATGCCTATAAAAACATATCTGAAAATTGAAACGATCGCATTATTTTTTATTACAAAAAAATTTTTTTTAAATAACCTCTAAAAAGAAGGCCGGAACATGAGACTACATCCTTAATAGGTTTTGAGTAACCTCATGCGCCAGTCGTAAAAACACTGTTTCGAGAAAAACACGTTTAAAGTTTTGAGACGGCTCTTGCCGTCGCCTGGCGCGTCCACCATAAATCGGCTATATCTGCAAGTTTTTGAAATTTTCACTTGAAATTTTAAAGTGACATTTTTGAATAGTTATAAGCTCGAATTAAATAAAAAAAAAAAACATCGATTTTTTGAAACCGAGAATGGGGGGGGGTTTTTTTAAGGTGACCTTGGATTTATTAAAAGGTGATCAAAAGAATTTAACGACCCCTACATTACTAAAAGTTTATTTATTTTTTTCGGTCCGTCCGGACCGTCAACGGTCCCAGGCACAACACAGGGACTTACGCGCAAGCAACTGCCTTCCGTATGTGTGTACACCGCTGGTAGAGCGAATATACTCTCCACGCGAAGGCGGCTGGTAACAGGTCCTAGTACGGTAATTTCTCTGCCGAGGATGTTGGCTTATTGCAGACCGGCGGGAAGAAGTTCACTCCCTTCCTCAAATTACCCCAATCAAGGTGGAACAGCATATGCCGAAGGACGCGTGTCCGAAGGGGGATCGGACGTTAATATGTGAACTCTGGGGGACTGGCCAACCCCCCAGTTTTAACCAGGCTTATTGTGACGAAAGGGCTATGTAATGATGGACGAACCCCTTCCCGCCTACTCGTCGGTCCAAAATATGCATTCTGCAAACTTAAATAAAAACCATAGTGGAGAACCAAAACCCCTAAAAAGTCCGGAAATGGGGCCAATGACACTTCAAACTGCAAGGCCATCAGAAGCCAAAGAGCTGCTGGGATGGATAAGCTCTCTACAGAGGGGCAACATCCGGATGCGGATGCCAGGGTATCTTCCCCTAAAGCGGGGATAGCCATGCGACCACCGAACGGCGTGGAGAGGAAGACCCCAAGGTCTATATAGAGGTTATACCAACCGGCAGGGCCCATAAAGATGGGCTGATTCCCAAGGACCTTTGGCGGAAGGTGGTCAATGAGCTGCATGGGCGCTTCCCACCAGAATGCAAAGACGCAGATTGGTATCAGGGTAAGGTATAAGGGTGGCCCTGTACAAGAAAATGATAGCCACGCTTGGAGAGGTCTACCCTGGTGCAAAGTTGGAGACAGTTGACTGGGGCGAGATCCCCAGTAAGCCGAGGGCGCGAGTTTGTCTCATCGAAAAGACGGCCGTATAACACCATCCTATCGATTCTTAAAATGTGCAATCCGACACTTCCCACGTCGGACTGAAGAGTCGCGAAGGTGGGGGATGCTAAATGAGGGTTTTGAGCATGTTACGGTCCGGTTTTACAAGTCGGATGGCAGGAGCAAGATTGAAGGCATCTAGCGCTGTGGTGGAGAATTTCAAAGACGTCTCTGACAATCTTGTACATAAACCTCCACCACTGTAGGGCGCCATCAGCTGCCCTACCACTCCACCTCACCGAGCTGATGTGGCCCTCATCCAGGAACCCTGGATCCTTAGGTTGGCGTCGGAGTATAGGCTCTGCAAAGCCGATAAAACCGGTAAAGGGCGATCCTGCATGCCAAAGGAACCTCTAAAGGTATGCCACGGGGACGGCTCTCCACAAGATCACTACGTTCATCGAAAAGCTGATAAAGATTATGTGATAAAGAATATGAGCTTTTTGCTTTTCTATGAGCTTTTTGCCTTCTATGCGCTGACGAGACTAGGGGTAGACGATCAATACGTGCACTTGATAAGGCAGATCCGGGTAAACAGGACTGTTGAGGCAACAATAGGAGGAGAGTCTATTCAGAGATTCGTCAAGAGAGGCACTTCGCAAGGAGGTGTACTCTTCCCCCTTCTCTGGAACGAGGCGGTTAACAACTTTGCTTTCGCGAATGAAGTTGCAATAGCCTTCACTGGAAAATTTCGACAGACTTTATGCCAGAAAACTGGACTAGAAGCTAAATACTATCGATAGGGCAAACAAGGGGTCTATCGCGCTCTATACTTGCCGCAAGGGCATTGGACTTAAATGGCGTATGTCTCTAAAAATAGTAAGATGGTTTTATACAGCGGTCATTAGACGTATCCTTTTATACAGGCATTTAAAGGTTGGTTTACGGATTACAGGCAGTCTCCGTACCACACCAACTGACTTCATACTCGATCTATTGCCTGTAGCGATATTGGAAGTCAAGATAGCCACGCTATCGGCAATCAGGTTACGCGAGGGGGTCTATGGAAAAGGACTAACCATTGACACACCAAGTTGGACTTATACCGTTTCAAGCCTATGGGAGAAATACTGTATACCTGTCGATCGTCCCACCTTTAAATATAAGGTCTCTATTTCATCGAGGGCTATATGGGCTACACAAATCCAGGGACCAGTGGGTTCCCTTCATATATAACCGGAGGGTTCGAAGTTGAATGGCCAGGTGGGAGGCGGGTTACACTGCGAGCTCCTTAAATGAGTCCTTTAGACTCCCTGACCACTGCAGTGTGTTCCAAGATGAAGTAATGAATATCATGGAAGCACTTAGATCCCCTTAGATAGATTAGAATGCTAGCACTTGCTAGCATTTCAGAGACGATTTGTATCTTCTCAGATAATCAAGCGGCTCTCAGGGCTCTTGACGGATTTTCATCCAACTCAAGGACACTGAATGACTGTCGCAGATCTCTCAACGGGATGGCGGAGCACCATGACATAACGTTGACTGTAACGTTCTGCCCATCATCGATTTTGAAGAAGTACGGACCAAAGATTCCACCAGTCCATAAAGCGCACCAAACAGTCAGTTTTGAAGTAACGGTGTTTTGATATACACTTGGGAGTTAGCTTCACTCCAAACGCGAAAGTTTTGTTTGTTGACGTAGGCATTCCACCGGAAGTGCGCTTTATCACTAACTCGCTTATAAAAATCGGGAATAATGGCAATCTAGTTGGATCTCGTGATGATCGTTTGGCTGCGACTTGGATTTTGTAAGCATGCAAACCAAGATCCTTCCGCAAAATCTTTCATAATGGCTCGATGGCAGGATGGACTTATTTGGGTCTTCCTTAATGCTACGCACCGTACGCCTTTGGGGAAACAAGTTATCAAAAAGAGTAAATGTGGTGCGATAACGTTGAATAGTTAATCGAATTAACTGCTCTGATAGATAGAATTAACTGAAAAAAAACACCCTTTATTTAAATCCGATCAGGACTGCAAGGGTACTAAAGGGTAAGGGTACGTTGGCTCCGCCCGAACTAAGCTTTCCTTTCTTGTTTGATTATAAATACGGGTATAAATATTTTTTGTACGTACTTTTAAATCGCAAGTCTTATTTAACAAAAGATTGCTAGGCTTTAAGTCCCGATGCAATACGTTTGCCGAATGTATGTACTTTAATCCGCGCAGAATCTGGTATAGGAAGTAACAGATGTGATCATTGCTTAGCCTCTGAAATTATAAACAATAATATTAAATTTATAATGATGAAACTTAAGATGGTATATTGTGATATAGAAAGAAATCTAATGAAATCTAATGAAATTATACTTTTTCAAGCTTTTTAAATAAAATGCCCGTCAGCCATCGGGTACAACAGGGGGACCTACGCGCAAGGTAAGGCGGCTGGTAACAGGTCCCGGTAAGGTCATGTCTTTGCCGAGGATGCTGGCTAATGGTAGTCGGGCGGGGAGAAGAACACTCCCTTCCTTAAATCACCCCAATCCAAGGTGGAACAGCATATGCCGAAGGATGCGTGTCCGAGGGGGGGCTTGGACGCTAATATGCGAACTCTGGGGGACCGGCCGACCTCCCAGTTTTAACCAGGCTTATTGTGACAAGCGGGCTATGTCATGATGGACGAACCACTTCCCGTCTACTCGTGGGACCAAAATATGAATTCTACTAATCTAACAAAAAACCAAAATGGAGAACGGAACTCTCTAAAAAAGCCCGGAAATGGGGTCAATGACCCGTCAAACTCCAAGGCCCTCAAAAGCCAAGGAGTTGCTGAGATGGAGAAGAGGGGCAACATCTGGAGGCGGGACGCGCCGGTGCGGAGGAGGTTGCTAAGGCTTCTTCTTCCAAAGCGGGGCTAGCTATGGGACCACCGAACGGCGTGGAGAGGAAGACCCCAGGGTCAACTTCTAAACCGACCGGCGGGGCCCCTAAGGCTAACCCTGGCCCGGGAGCGTCTCACTCGACGCAGCGTAAAGGCTCTTATAAGGACAGAAGAAGAGCAGCCTTCATCTTGATGAGGGCGGACCCATCGGCCGAAGCCAACCCGGACCAGGCCGAGATCATTAAGTGGGCAAGGGAGATCCTGCCCGACTTTAATCCGGAAAAGGCGGGAGTGAGGCTGGATCCGAACAAACGTACTGGGTCAGACCCTGCCAAGGAGACCGCGCAAAGCGCGAAGAGGCAGAGGTCCACAGAGGGAGAAGCCCCCCAGGCCAAGAAGAGGAAGGCCCAGCCGCAGCCGTCCAACCGCTCGTTCGCCGAAGTAACGAAGGGAAGAACCCTAATTGGAGTCCTGGACAAGGGCTCCAAGGATGGGCTCATCCCCAAGGACCTTTGGCGACGAGTGGTAAACGAGTTGCATGGGCGCTTCGTGGAAGAGATGCTGAGATGCGGAGGACCCCACCTGAATGCGAAGACACAGGATGGTATCAGGGTAGCGTCAAGGTGATTGCCTGCCAAGACGCGCGTTCGGTAGAGACCTACAAGCGGAAGGTTGCATCGCTTGGAGAGGTCTACCCTGGAGCTAAGCTGGTGGCGGTTGACTGGGACGAGATCCCTAGCAAACCAAGGCTCACTGTGGCTCACTGAAAAGCCAGCCGACCCTAAAACCATATTAACGATGCTTAGGATGTGCAACCCGACGCTTCCCACGGCGGACTGGAGAGTCGCCAAGGTCGAGGAGGCGGTGGGACTGCGGAGGCAGGTCGTCCTTACACTCAACGAGGAGACCGTTAAAGCCCTGGAGAGGACGGAGCACCGGCTGAAGTACGGATTCGAACACGTTTCGGTCCGTATCTACAAATCCGATGCGAAGGCCAAGCCAGGAGGTGTCGGGCTGGAGGCAGACACGCAAGAGCCAGACTTGTAGGAGCCGACCGAAGAGGGGCACCCAGAGGGAATGTCGGATGAGGAGGAGGACATCCTGGAAGGGTACACCTCGGAGGAAAGCGACTTGGCAAGGGCACTTAGTGGAGTCGGAATGGAGGAGGACTCTCTGCTGAGCTCCGAGACGGAGGCAGAAATTACTGTGGTGGAGATTTGTAAGGATGTCCCTGACGATCTTGCAAATAAACCTCCATCACAGTAAAGCGGCGTCAGCTGCCCTCCTACTCCACCTCGCCGAGAGTGGAGCTGATGTGGCCCTCATCCAGGAACCCTGGATCCTAGGAGACAGGATTCTTGGGGGGGGGGGCGTCGGAGTTTAGGCTTTGCAAAGCCGATACAACAGGTAAAAGGCGAGCCTGCATCCTCGCAAAAAAGAACCTTAACCTCTTTTTGCTACCCAATTTCAGCAATGAAGACCACGTAGCCGCAGCCATAGAGAGCCCAAAGGGCCCTCTAAGGATATGATCGGCGTATATGGGCCACGACCAGGAGGCCCTCCCCCCGCACCCACTACTTAAACAGCTGGTGGAAGACAACAGGAAGCACAAGATCGACCTAATCATAGGTTGCGATGCTAACGCCCATCATCATCAGTGGGGAAGCACTGACACGAACGAGAGGGGTGAGTCAATCTTCGATTTTATCCTAGGCTCCAATCCAATAGTCAAGAACAGAAGGGAAGTACTTGACGTCACTTTTTACTCTGAATCCCTAGCAGACAGGATTGTTAGATGGGGAGTCCTAGAGAAACACTCTTTCTCGGACCACCTATACATATGGTAGAATTAGTGGTCAGCGAGAAAAGCGAACTGGGAGTTATACAGGAAAAAACTAGAAAGTTCCTTGGGGAAACCTCAAACAGGGGACGTTGACAGTAGGGATGCCATGGTTAACACGCTTACGGCAGCGCGCGGCAAGACATTCAATAAAGCTTGTCCCAAAAGCAGATCGGGCAATAGCAAGTCAAAGAAACCACCATGGTGGTCGCAAACACTTGCGCCTTTAAAACCAAGGCCCGCAAGGCCTTTAATTTTGCCAGCAAAACAAACTCGGAGACAGCCTGGGAGTCGTATAAAGCGGACCTTAGGCAATATAACAAAGAGCTTCGCAAGGCAAAAAGGAATGCCTGGGCCCAGTTCTGCACGAACATTCAGAAAACATCAGAGGCCTCCCGACTCAGGAAGGTCCTCGCAGCTACTGCACCAAATGTAGGATATATTTAAACCTCAGAAGGTAACTGGACATCGTCCAGCAGAGAAACCCTAGAGGCTCTCACAGAGACACATTTTCCGGGATGCTCTCGAGAAGATACAACAATAGAAATACAGAGACAAGGGAATAGCCCCTCCCCCCCTAACCAACTTGAATACCTATTGAGTGACAGGTATCTCAGCTGGGCAATAAGTAGTTTCAAACTGTTCAAATCCCCAGGCCCAGATGGCATTGTCCCGGCTCAACTAATTAAAGCCGGTCCCAATCTGAGGTCTTGGGTCAAGAAAGCTTTCTCAGCAATTTTCAGGACAGGCATCGTACCCGCAATGTGGTTGCGGACAAAAGTCGTATTTATACCCAAGGCGGGAAAACCATCTCACTGCACCCCTAAGGACTTCAGACCAATAAGCCTGTCGTCCTTCCTTCTCAAGACAATGGAGAGACTAATCAGCCTTCATATTAATCTTACTTTAAACCCAGATGATATCTCGGGATCACAGCATGCGTATAGGACGATCCACGGAAACGGCACTCCATGAGATCACTACTTTTGTCGAAAAGGCACTTAGTGACAAGGAATACGCACTCATTGCTTTTCTAGACATAGAAGGTGCGTTCAACAACATCCTACCAAGCTCGATAATCAATGCGCTGACGGGACTAGGGGTAGACGATCATTCCGTACGCCTTATAGAGCAGATCCTGATAAACAGGACTGTTGAGGCGTCACTAGGAGGAGAATCTATTCATATCAATCTATTCACGTCAGAAGAGGCACTCTGCAAGGAAGCGTACTCTCACGCCTACTCTGGAACGTGGCGGTTAATAGCCTACTGCGATCCCTAGAAGGGGGTGGTTGCAAAGTTATCGCTTATGCGGATGATGTCGCAATTGCCTTCTCTGGAAAATTTCCTCAGACTCTATGTGACCGTATGACGGACAAACTTAGGGTCCTCTCAACGTGGGCAGTTAGAAATGGAATGGGTGTAAACCCGTCCAAAACCGAGCTCGTCCTCTTCACCAGGAAGTACAACGTACCGAACTTAAGGCTTCCAAAACTATTAGGAGAAACACTATCCCTTAGCTTTAGCGCCAAGTACCTGGGAATTACGCTAGACAGGAAACTGGACTGGAAGTCAAACACCATGGATAGAGCTAACAAGGCAACAATAGCGCTCTATACTTGCAGGGAATGTCACCAAAAATAGTAAGATGGCTCTACACAGCGGTCATAAGACCCATCCTATTCTACTATCCATCCTATTCTACCACACCGACGGATGCCCTAGACTTGATACTCGACCTATTACCGGTAGAGATAATGGGGGTCAAGATAGCCACGCTATCGGCAATCAGGCTACGCGAGACGGGCACCTGGAAATGGACTAAATATGGACATACCAAGTTAGATCTACACCACTGCACGCCAACGGGGTCTACAGACTACTGCGTACCTGTCGATCATCCCACCTTAAAATACAAGGTTTTCATTCCAACAAGGGAGGAATGGGCCACACAAATTCCGGGACAAGCCGGTTCCCTCCATATCTACACAGACGGTTCAAAATTGAATGGCCAGGTGGGAGGCGGTTTCCATTGCGAACGGCTGTGTCTAAATAAGTCCTTCAGACTCCCCGACCACTGTAGTGTGTTCCAAGCAGAAGTAATAGCTATCGGAGAAGCTCTCAGATCTCCAGCACTTACTGGCAATCAAGACACAATCTGTATCTTTTCAGACAGTCAAGCGGCACTCAAAGCCCTTGACGGATTTTCATCCAACTCCAGGACAGTGAATGACTGTCGCAGATCTCTTAACGAGATGGCAGAGCAGCATGACATCCACCTCATATGGGTAAGAGCAGGTACTACCAATCCTCTCCTTCCGGAGAAGGAACCAGTAGGAACCATCCGTAAATCTGGATGGGACCGCGAGCCGCCGCAGGAAGGATAGAACACCCTTGGGCACATAAGTAATGGAAAGGGAGTGGTCCTCTTGTAGGACCCTTGCTTGTGCGATATCACAAGGAGCCCCAGCGGCTCAAGTGGATGGGGGTCAGACCGGCCCCTCATCACCGCCTCAACCTAACCTAACCTAAATAAAATGTCGTCTTTTCTTACAACAAACGGCCGTGTTTTTTGTGCGTACTGCGGTTTAATCTACATTTCTTGTGCAGTGGTATATTTGGAGATTAATCGATAATTATTTTAACGTTAATGCAAGAGTTAATTTTTCTAAGGCAATCCCAACATCGAGAAAATGCTATACGAAACTTATTTGTATCTCTTGAACAAAGTATATAATTCGGAACGGACGGGATCGGCAGACTATATCCTATAGCTGATGATCGGAAATTCCATAATTTTTGTGCTTTTAGAGTTAGAGGATTGGGATTTTATTTTTGGCAAAATGATGCTATATACTAAAATTGGAATTTGGTAAAACTATCAACTTTGTTTAAAGATAGAAGCTTGGTTCTCTTTTGTATTTTGTATTCTAGTTAATTGCTTTAATTATACAATTTTCTTAACGATCGACCAACTATAGCCGATATTTGTAATTTATATCCGATCTTAACGGCAAGGGTATATAAACTTCGGCTCCTTTTTTTTAGAAATTAGATTTCCTTTTTTGTTTTCATTTATTATAAAAAAAAAAAACTCATTAAATCTTAAAATTTTGCATCAAGCATATAACTAATAAAAACTACGAAAAACAAACAAAAATCTCGCAAACAAACAAAATCGCATTCTCTACATATTTTTTTTTTTTATTAAATGCGAAAGTACGTATTGTACGTTTCTGATGTTTTTTTCTGACAACAAGACCGAGTGAAGACAGTTTTTACTGACTAGCTGTATATACTTTATAGGGTCGGAGATGTCTCCTTCACTGCGTTGAACACTTTTGGACAAAATTATAATACGCTCTGCAAGGGTATAAAATTTTCTTTTCTTTTAAAATCGGCAATTATGAAGCGGAAAAATAATTTTCAAAATGCTAAGTGAAATTTGATTTAATTTCTACTTTTATGCACGGCGTTGCCACCTGATTTGTACCACCAATTCATGGTTTGAGGCTGAAATCATAGTCAACTTTCATGTTTCGCCAAATTCATGAAATGGCGCTTATGTACACACGAATCGGCTGGAATCGTAAATGATTGCGTGAGTTCGTCATCGAATAAACACATTTATAGGTATCTATGATGAAACACGGTTTAAATCTTGAAAAAGACAACTTTTAAACTTAATTTTGTAAATTATAAATATTTACTTAAACTAATATATTATTACCTGTGTTTTTAATAGTTTATATAAATCAGTCTCCATTAAACACTGGACTATATAAACATCCCTCATTTGTTCAATACTGTCTACCCTCAAAATGTCTCGAATATCAATAATCTATAAATATAAAATCTTGAGTAACATTTATTTAATTTAAAAGGGATCATGTCGCGTTGAGAAAAAATCTCGAACCATTCGATAACAACAAAAGATAGAAGGAATGCGTTTAACGACCGACAACAGAGCATTCTTCAAATTTAAAACGCGTTTTTCTCGAAAATATTAACTTGGCGTTTAACGTGGCTATTAAGATATCTACACAAACACAAAAAAAAATTAATGGGCTTCTCAATTTTTAAATTTAAATAATTCAGTTTGGCTGAATCGTAGCCAGAAGGTTCAGGAGGAAACAGCTTCAACGCGGCATGACACCCAGAAAAAAAACATTACATTTTCATGTTTAAATCGAGTCAAAATTGTTATTTCTCTAAGAGTCCGTTGGCAATATGTCTGGTGCTCAAAGGGTGAAATCTTTTTAATTGCAACTCTTTGGTTTGTTAATGTATCATCGGCAGACCTAAAAATACAAGAAAAGAGGTAAAAAACTGAGTTTTTCAATCGTAATATTAACGTAAAATATGTGCATTTCTTTCATTATTAAAAATATGTGTACAATAGCTGAAAATTATCATTTCTTTTGTACGAATAAGTCACGAATAAGAAGAAGAATAAGATCAAAACTGAGAGAGGGCGAACGAGAGAAACGGTGACAAACAAGACCCCAGTCGGATATGTCGCGCGCCACGAATTATGTGCCCACCACGTTTTTCGCTTTTTATATCCTTGCAGAGGGTATTCTAATTTTGTCCAAACGCAGGAGTTGATCCTAGATGTCACCTGGAGAGATGTCATCTTCACTGCGTTGCACACTTTTGGACAAAATTTTAATACCCTAAACAAGGCACAATGATCGAGCTTGTATGGAACCCCAGCCATAAACACTTAATAGATGTGCTATCGCTATGAAACTTTTACCAAAAATCTAGAAAAATATTATTAACATATAATAAAAAAGGTTACCAGATCGTACCACTATATCCTTTAGCTTCCATAAACGATTGCTGACCATCATCAGTGATGGCGCTTTCATAAGAGAGCAGTCATAAAATCATTTTTAATGGTCAGATCAGGCTATTTCTACTGTAAGTTATTTAAAAATATAATACTGAAATAAAAAAATATTGGAATGATTGATTAACTAATAAGTGCGGTTTATTAACCGATTAATTAACTGCGGCTTCTTCAGAAAGCTCTCCAATCGATAATAAAGAATGTTTTATATTATCAGGAGCATAAAGTAAAACTTTATGAACCGATGGGGGGAGATACAACCTCCAGTTCTAGGTTGATCTACTACTAGACCCATTTTAGCCCTGAACTCATCATGAATAAATTTTTTTCTCTATAAAATCTTATCTTTAGCTTCTTAGGATCGAATTCGACATACTTTTTCGTCCAATTTGTACGATAGGCGAAGAAAATATTCAAAAAATCGAATATACCCATGAAGCGGTGACAGTCCAAACTCAAATCGCTCCTCATGAACTTCTTTCTTTAAAAAAAAACTTTTAGGGGGTTCATTTCGGTTGGCTTGGCAAATGAAGCATTTTGTGGATGTGGTTTCACTTTATGCATTATAAACTTTACCATCAACAATGGTAAGTTGCAAAGAATGTTCGATATTAATAATTCAACAACATAACAGACACAGAACAAAAACGTGCTTCCCTCCTAGATAGAGATGGAAAAAGAGGTTAGGTTGCATTTTTTAATGGCAAATGTGCTGCGGCAGACTTCCGCAGGTGAAGTAAACATTTTTATAGTCTTTAAATATTAGTATATAACAGCACATAAATTTAATTTGGGGGCAAACGGGGGAAAATACTTAAAACTTTACATATACGAACTAAAAAGACGCACATTTTTAACAAAGATTTACACGAAACACAGAACAAATTATTTATATATATATCTGTAAAAATAAAGTATATACCATTATATACCATATCCATTCCAATATGGATATAATATAATTTCCATATCCGATTTTGGTTTAACAGAGTTTTATAATATAAAAATTATGTCCACTGCGGACAAATTAAAAGTGCATAAATATGAGTACCATTTTGTCATGCTATTTTTAAAAAGTTCCCTTAGAAATGCCAAGTAAACCATATTGCTTGGTAAATTTTGGAGAATCAGCTGATAGTAAGACCGGGTTTCGCTTGAATAGCTCAAAATCAATTTTTTTTATTTTTGACTTATTGCAGCCACCACTGTGAAAGGGTGTGAAAGGGTGTGAAAGGGTAAAAATTGTTCATGAATGAATGTTTTCAAATTTTTTCTAAAGATTTCGGTACGGTGTCGTGGCGGAACAGTATCCGAGGGAGCGGTTGCACAGACGTAAATATGTGAGCTTTTGGGTGGCCAGCCGATACTCTAGTTTTAACCAGGTTTACCACGACACGCGGTTAGGATGGACGAACCCCTTTTCACCTACTCGTGGGTCACCAATTAATAACTCCAAAAACCCAAGAGAACGAGTTCCAAACACATCAATCTCCAAAGTAGATAAAGGCCAAGGAGATGTCGGATGAAAAAGACTCTTATACGCTTAGGAGGAGAACAGCCTTAATCTTTATGAGGTAAAGTTATTCTTTTTTTTATGTTTCAATCGATTTAACGACAATCGTGTTATGAAATTCATTCTTGTTATATTTTATTATTATTTATATTATTTTTTTATTCGTCTTTTTTTGTTAAGTTGTGCTTTTTTTTTAAGTTGTATCTCCCAAGACTTTTGTATTTTATTTGTTACGTTATTTCTTTTTTAATTTAATATGTGACTCTTCTTAATGTGTCTTTACTTGCTTGTACAAATTCAATTATTGGTGAACTGCGATCGGCACCAATCCACGAAAATTACGGAAGGCCATCGATCATGTGAACAGCAATATTGAAAATATTGGCACGTGTTCGATATAAGGGTGTTAACAAAATGTATTAAACACATTTTCAAAAAAAAAATTGCTTGTTTTAGACACAATGTAAACGCAAAAACGCTTCAGTTCTTGAATTCCAATCCAATTGGCTTAACGAAACGATAATAATTTTAATTAAACGCACAAACGACGTCCGAAAGTAGATTTTAGCGATTCAACAACAAGGACGAAGAATTGATGTGCTTTCAATAATTAATGAATCTGTTTCTTGTGATTTACGATCGTGCATATTATATCGATTGAAGATTTACACAGGCCGAAAATTTTCAATTTTTTTTCCTCCACGCATAATTTTAACCGCTCCATAACTGCTCATCCCCCTGGATGAGTATTCCATAGATATGGCAACTGCTAGATGCTATTTTTATACCCTTGCAGAGGGTATAATAATTTTGGTCAAAAGTGTGCAACGCAGTGAAGGAGACATCTCCGACCCTATAAAGTATATATATTCTTGATCAGGATCACCTCCTGAGTTGATATGAGCATGTCCGTCTGTCCGTCTGTCTGTTTCTACGCGAACTAGTCTCTCAGTTTTAAAGCTATCTTGAATCTTTGCACACACCCTTCTTTCCTTTGCACGCAGTATATAAGTCGTAACGGCCCGAATCGGCCGACTATATCTTATAGCTGAACCATCGGAAATGGTATTTGGTAGAAATTTCAACTTTGGTATTTTTGAAGATAGAAGTTCGGGACTTTTTTTAGATTTTGTATTATAATAAATTGGGTGATATTATCATTATATTATTATCTCATAAGGATCGGCTAACTATATCCGATGGTTGCGATGTTTTAACTGCAAGGCTATAACAACTTCGGCTCCGCCCGAAGTTAGGTTTCCTTTCTTGTTTTAATTAATTGCGTGAATTTCAAAAATGATATGTACTAAAAAAAAAATCATTATCGTCATTATCGCCATTACACGGCCTAAATAGTTCAATATATGGCAAAATTTATTCAATTTCTTATCTTAGGTGTGGGTTTCTTCGCTGTGGGTGATGGAACCTGTTTGTTCTGGACTTTGGTTCAGGGGAGCCGAAAGGTTATAACACAGGTGAAATTATGGAGATATTTTAGTAACAGCATCAGCATATTTAACTTTTAAAATTTTGTTTTCTTTTGCTAAAATTTATATTTTTATTTCTTACTATACCCTTGCCCTTATACCCAATAATTTTGGTCAAAAGTGCTTTTATAGCTGCCATATAACTGAACGATTGAAAATATTTTTGAATTTTTGAATATAGAAGCTTTAGACTATTTTTTAGATTTTTTAAAGTGATAAACTGGTTATATTAAAATATTCTCATTAGGATCGGCCAACTATATCCAAATTGTGCGATATATATCCGGTTTTAACTGCAAAGTTTTATCAACTACGGCTTCTTCTGAAATTAGCTTTCCCCTCTTGTTTTTAGTATGTTTTTTTTTTATTTGTGGGCGGATAAAAGACCACGCCATCTTTCTCTTTAAATATTATTTTAAATGTAATAAGACTTTAACAAAAAAGTTTAAAACTTAAAATAGCACCGCTTTTAAAATTTGGTCCGATATTTTGCATGGTAGCTATAGGACATTGGTGCCCAAAACCTCATCACACATGGTTGGAAATTTCTCTGCCTGGCCACTCTTATGCACACTTACACTGTAAACACTACAAAACGACTGTTAACGTCGAGAGCTTACGGGAGAATACTACGCATTCCAACACAAATGAAAGTCCAACATGTGAATGTATTTGTGAGGGCATCACTGCTATAGGATTTAGTCGGGCGATATGTCCCTTTTTTTTTGCTATAATTAAAATATTTTTATAGAATGTTGCGGAAAAATTCGTAGCGCTAGAAGTAAAAGTATTTTTTGGCGATGCTCTCATAAAGGCAAAACCACTGTGCAGGCTTTTGGCATATTAATCTGTATATGTAACAATGTAATGTTCGGCTAAAGAAGAACTCAGCACAATTTGAGCACAATTTTTGAACCAATGTTTCCCTAGACTTTGCAATACTTTTTGTGTACTCATTGCGATCCACACAGTCTCGCGTCTCCGAAAAAGGGGTTGCTTTTAAACCCTCGACGATAGATGAAGAACAGTGCCATCCCAGGGAGTTGAGAAGGGTTCCACGAAAAACGGTTGGAAGATGAGGGAGGGAAAGGGAGAATTCTATTTTCAGATCGTAACATCTTTGGAACGATGAAAGTTTGAAACATTCGCATCGAGACAGTGTGAAATCAAAGAAATGAGAAATATCTTCTACTATCTTTACTCTTCAGCTCGGATTTTACTGTGGATTCTCACTTTTACTTTCAATACCAAATTTAAGTATCGTAAAACCAACTTGGAGGATAACCTAGGTGGAAATCGGGCGCTCCCTCTTCTTGGAGTCCAAGGTTCGATCTGATCAATTTTTAAAAAGTAAATTTTAGTTTTATGATTATTTTTATAATTAACCGGACATTAATCATTTTGAATTTTTTTTTTTATACTATAATTATAGATAAAAAAAAAAAA